GTGACTGTGTCCGTGTGAGTTGATGACTTTGACTGTGACTGTGGATGTGACTGTGACTGTGGCTGTGGATGTGACTGTGACTGTGGCTGTGTGCTGTGGCTGTGACTGTGGCTGTGGCTGACTGTGGCTGTGGCTGTGACTGTGGCTGTGGCTGTGACTGTGACTGTGGCTGTGGCTGTGACTGTGGCTGTGACTGTGACTGTGGCTGTGACTGTGGCTGTGGCTGTGGACTGTGGCTGTGACTGTGGCTGTGACTGTGGCTGTGGCTGTGGCTGTGACTGTGACTGTGACTGTGGCTGTGACTGTGACTGTGACTGTGACTGTGGCTGTGGCTGTGGCTGTGACTGTGACTGTGACTGTGACTGTGGCTGTGACTGTGACTGTGGATGTGACTGTGGCTGTGGCTGTGACTGTGGCTGTGACTGTGGACTGTGACTGTGACTGTGGCTGTGGCTGTGACTGTGACTGTGGCTGGCTGTGGCTGTGGACTGTGGCTGTGGCTGTGGCTGTGGTTGTGACTGTGGCTGTGACTGTGACTGTGGCTGTGACTGTGACTGTGGATGTGGCTGTGGCTGTGACTGTGACTGTGGACTGTGACTGTGACTGTGGCTGTGACTGTGGCTGTGGCTGTGGTGACTGTGGCTGTGGCTGTGGACTGTGACTGTGACTGTGACTGTGGCTGTGACTGTGACTGTGACTGTGACTGTGGATGTGACTGTGACTGTGACTGTGTGACTGTGACTGACTGTGGCTGTGGCTGTGGCTGACTGTGACTGTGGCTGTGACTGTGGCTGTGGACTGTGGCTGTGGCTGTGGATGGCTGTGGCTGTGGCTGTGGCTGTGGCTGTGGCTGTGGATGTGGCTGTGGCTGTGGACTGTGACTGTGACTGTGGCTGTGACTGTGACTGTGGCTGTGACTGTGGCTGTGGCTGTGACTGTGACTGTGACTGTGGCTGCTGTGGACTGTGGCTGTGGCTGTGGCTGTGGCTGTGGCTGTGGACTGTGACTGTGGCTGGTGGCTGTGACTGTGGCTGTGGCTGTGGCTGGCTGTGACTGTGGCTGGCTGTGGCTGTGACTGTGACTGTGGATGACTGTGGCTGTGGATGTGGACTGTGGCTGTGGCTGTGGCTGTGGCTGTGGCTGTGGCTGTGGCTGTGGCTGTGGCTGTGGACTGTGGCTGTGACTGTGGACTGTGACTGTGTGGACTGTGGCTGTGACTGTGACTGTGGTGGACTGTGGCTGACTGTGGCTGTGGCTGTGGGGAATGCTGACTGGCTGTGACTGTGGCTGTGGCTGTGGACTGTGACTGTGGCTGTGACTGTGGCTGTGGCTGTGGATGTGACTGACTGTGGATGTGGCTGTGACTGTGACTGTGACTGTGGCTGTGGATGTGGATGTGGATGTGACTGTGGCTGTGACTGTGACTGGCTGTGGCTGTGACTGTGGTGGCTGTGACTGTGGCTGTGACTGTGGCTGTGTGGCTGTGACTGTGGCTGTGGACTGTGGACTGACTGGGCTGTGACTGTGACTGTGACTGTGACTGTGTGGTGACTGTGACTGTGGATGTGACTGTGGGTGTGACTGTGGCTGTGGCTGTGACTGTGACTGTGACTGTGGCTGTGACTGTGGCTGTGTGGCTGTGGCTGTGGATGTGGCTGTGGCTGTGACTGTGACTGTGGCTGTGACTGTGACTGTGGATGTGGCTGTGACTGTGACTGTGACTGTGACTGTGGACTGTGGCTGTGACTGTGACTGTGACTGTGACTGTGACTGTGGATGTGACTGTGGATGTGACTGTGCTGTGGCTGTGGATGTGACTGTGACTGTGGACTGTGGCTGTGACTGTGACCGTGGATGTGACTGTGGATGTGACCGATGTGGATGTGGATGTGACTGTGGCTGTGAATATGGCTGTGACTGTGTGTGACTGTGGATGTGACTGTGACCATGGCCGTGGCTGTGGATGTGATTGTGAATGTGACCGTGACCGTGGATGTGACTGTGACTATGGCCGTCTCTGTGGATGTGGATGTGACTGTGGATGTGGACTGTGGATGTGGATGTGGATGTGTCTACGGTTGTGGATGTTCCTGTTGCTGTTACTGTGGATGTGACTGTGGATGTGGATGTGACTATGGTTGTGGCTGTGACTGTGAATGGACTGTGGATGTGACTTTTTCTGTGGCTGTGGCTGTGGGTGTGGCCGCAGCTGCAGATTGTGGCTTTGAATTTTGTCCTCATGCGCCTGTGTCTCCTGACATACCCTCTAATCCTGAGATTATATTGAAAACGAATACGTAAACAAATATGACTCTGGATGATTTCCCATGTGACGCCACGAATCTTTCTATTTACACTGGTATGATGTTACTTCTTATCTTGTAATGGTTGAATGTAACAAAACAAGGATGGGCGGATTACTTTAAATCACGAAATATTTCAAACTCATTTATCGCTGAAAACAGCTGGGATACATTTAATGAGCAATGCATTACTAAAATGAGAAACTTTAATCGCATTCGTTCATTTGATATCAGGTGTGATTACAAATGCAATTATCTTCGGTTTAATAATATGATATTCTCGTGCACATACTTCAGTTATTTACTGGAAGTCGTCATAAACCTATAATATTGCTGAGAGGGGCATAAACCAAGGAACATATGATACGATAACACCCCGTTAACTGTATTCATGCGAGTTGGCTCCACATGCAAGCTATTTCAACAATCAGATCTTCTTTTAAAGGCTTGGCGTTTAGTTTTAAAACCGAAATTTGTTGAGACATCATTTTGAATATTCTTTTGGGGAGTTTGTTTGCACTCAACAAAGCCATCTTTGCGCACTCAGCTTGAAAAGAAAGGTTTACTGCGTGCTTAAAATTGATACAGTTTTAACCGCTCTGAAACCCTAGCTTAACTGTGGTCAGTATCACTCCAGTTTACCCGTTGTGCAGTCATTAGCTGCAACTGGTAATTACCACAAACAGATTAAACCACAACGCTGTCAACCCAACATAACACCTCACATCTGTTTATTTATACATCATCCGAAAGGATGTACTCAGATTCAGCAGGTGTCTTTCGTTCACCTTCATGTGACCTTCGTAATCAGAAATTAGACCACAATAGGCGATCTTGTTCTCAGAAATTGCCGGACCAATGAGGCTAAAACTTCACAAACGTATTCGTATCAAAGAAGATCAGTTAATTGACACGGGTAACATTCATGTTTTTACATGAAACGTTCTGAAAACACGTAGCCATTAATGGTAAAATTTGAGTATAAATGATTGAGACTGTACATTTGTCTATTGGTTCATCTCCCTTGTTATCAGAAGGTAAATGGTGACGATAAAGGCGATGACAACCACGGTATATGGTTACATTTCCAAAGAGTGAGTGAGTGAGTTTGGGTTTACGCCGCTTTTAGCAATATTCCAGCAATATCACGGCGGGGAACACCAGAAATGGGCTTAACACATTGTACCCATGTGGGGAATCGAACCCGGGTCTTCGGCGTGACGAGCGAACGCCTTAACCACTAGGCTACCCCACCGCCCCACATTTCCAAAGAAAGTAATAGCGTTTCTATCACCACACCTGGTCTGTACCTTATATTTGCCCAGCTACGAAAATGTTTCGGCCAAGATAGGTCAGTGTAGCTTGTTTGCCACATATCCAAGTAAGTTTATAAGTATATTTTCGTAGCACTATCCTATTCTCTATTAGTGTGTACTGCATTGAGATGAATATATAGCATACCAAAGGTCTATCTATCTTTTCTTCTAAACAAATACTCAATCGCAGATTGTACTTGATAACTTAGAAGTGATTTCAAAATTCCAACAGAACTTACAAAAAAGTTCGGATTTTTCACACATGTCCACATTAGCATCACAATAACAGCCACAGATGCGTCGTGTTGTCTAAGGACTGGTTTTTCTGCCAAATAGATCTCAAATGGGCGTAAAAAATAACGGTGATAATATTACAAATGAATCACCAGTGACAACACCGGGTGTTCACGTAAAGGGTAAGCCTCGACCGGTTGCCACCCGCCACTCACGCTTTCTTCAAGGTTGCTGTCCAGAGTGTCGCATCATTGTATCGTGCTATTTGAACACGTTAGACTTCCAACAGTTCTTCCTTTCAGATTTACACGTTGGGTTTAACGTTAACATCTTTATACCCCAACAGCCTGATTCCCGGTAATGAGTGAGTGAGGGAGTTGGGTTTAACGTTAACATCTTTATACCCCAACAGCCTGATTGTGTGCATTTATATTTGAATTCCCGGTAATGAGTGAGTGAGGGAGTTGGGTTTAACACCGCGTTGTTATATACACGTCAGCTTGACGTACTGAGCTAAATCCCACACTATGGCAAATTCTACACATTCGTAATGGAGGAGTTAACACGGCGAATGTTTTCATGTAGACCCGTGAGGGTCCGGGTTAGAATATTGATCTTCAGCAACCCATGCTTGTCGTAAGAGGCGACTAATGGGATCGTCTGGTCAGGCTCGCTGACTTGGTTGACACATGTCGTCGTATCCCAATTGCGTATATTGATGTTCATGCTGTTGATCACTGGATTGCCTCATTCAGACTAGATTATTTACAGACCGACGCCATATAGCTGGAATATTGCTGAGTGCGGCGTTAAACAACAACCAAACCAAACCAAGCGTTAATGTATTGTGTTGTACTTCGACACTTCCAATGTTTTCGAATTAAGTCAGCTTCTGGTATTTAGGTTCATATTTGAGATTGTAAAATTTCCTCTTCACCCTTCAGCAGCTATTAAAAACATAAGATTGTTCTTTTATTTGGTTATGTCGGCTCCAAAATTCTCAACATCAACGTTGTTACTACCTTTAATTTCTGTAACTATCACAGACTGTATGAGTCAGAGAAATGTGTCATACAGTGTTAATTCATTTTTGTCCATTAACTGAACAACTGCGCCAACGTACCAGCTTTATGTGAAAAAGACCTACATATGGTCATGTGTAAATCATGCATTTTGAATGTTTTTCATGCGGCTTTGCAATATAAAAGCCGTCCCTGTTTGTTCATTCCGCACATTTGGATGTTCAACAGTTTGCTGTAGGTAAGTATTTCCTTTTCTGTAAGAACCATTGATTATAGGTACAGATTCATAATTGTGATGTTCGCAGGGGGATGTAATGCTGGTTGTCGTGTCTTTCCATAAACCGTCGCATACAGGTTAATGCTTGCCAGCTCGTAGATCCTACACTGCCAACATTTCAGATCTAAGTGAGTGAGTGAGTGAGTGAGTTGGTTTTTTCGCCGCTTTTAGCACTATTCCAACAATATCACGGCGGGGGACACCAGAAATGAACTTCACCCAATATGCCCCTGTGGAGAATCGAACCCGGGTCTTCGGCGTGACGAGCGAACGCTTTAACCACTGGGCTACCCCATCGACCCTCAAATCTAAGGATATATGTATTATAATAAGGTGGAAAGAAGCTTCGTGACCAATGCAGACGCTGAATGTAATGCTAAACACAGATGACTAATTTAGTTTACAACTAAAAGAAAAACCCTACGTGTTTGCTGGAAAATGTGACCAAGCAAACTTGCCTATGGAGCATATCGATATTAATCAGAAATTGGTCATAGCTTGGATCTGTTAAATTTAAAGACTGTTAACTTCCAGGCTGTATTTGACTTGTTATGTCCACATTTCATTGTTCCGGTAGTCTCTTCCAACCGTCCTGGACCAAAATGTCCATCTACTGAAAATATAGCCTTGGAGATATCACGGATGCGGAAGAAAGTATTGTCCAGTATTTCCGTTCTATTTCTTGTTTCCCTGTTTTTTATGATCTTATTCATCACTGTAAATTGCTGTTACACTTATTTTATAAGTCACATATGAATCATAATAACCAGATGTAAGGAGGAGGGGTAGTGGCATGGTAAAGGGTTTGCTCGTCACACCAACTACATGGGTTTGATTCCAAATGTTGTGATCGCCCGTCATGATATTGCTGGAATATTGTTAAAGGCGTCATAAAACCATACTCTTTACTCATTTATATTGTATGTTAGTTTTCCGTGTATCATACTTTTTACGTTAGATTATATTTATCTAACTATATATCAACATTATAATGCTATACATAATTCTGACTGAATTGTACCAGGAATTGTGACTAGGTAGTGTTGGCCGTGAAATGTTCGCCTTTAGGGTTTGAATACTGTGCTACATAATACAGTATTTAAAGCGAGGCGCTCGTGTTTATTGTAGATCCAGACAATGAAGATGTTGCTGCTTGTGTTCGTGTTGGCACTGATGACGTTTGCCTGCGTTACTGCTTACCCTCCCAAAGACAAAGACCGCTCGCGTGTCCTCCTGGAAACACTAGCCCCTGTGTATGCCAGATATGTTGTTTGCTACTCGTGTGTAAGTCCACCTTCGTACACATTGTAAATGTCAAGTAGAAAAGAATACCAAACACATTGTCTTGAGGACTTTGTAGTCAAACATGTTGCATTTCCTGGCTGAATATATGACAAATATGTTTGTCCACACACAACGAAAGTCATATCCGGAAATAGTGCAATACTGAAAGTCACTTGTGGACTTCATATAAGAACACAGATACGTAGCTGTTATATCACAACTTCACATAGCAGTATCACCTGTTGGGTTGATATGGTCAGTTACAGGTGAATGATGCTTCAGGCAAGTCAGTAACTATCGATACTGACGTTATCATGTGGTCAGACCCATAACTACATCTCATTACCCCTCTCTCTCTTTCTCTGTCTCTCTCCCTCTTCCGCTCTCGGGGCGGTGGGGTAGCCTAGTGGTTAAAGCGTTGGCTCGTCACGCCGAAGACCCGGGTTCGATTCCCCACATGGACACAATGTGTTAAGCCCATTTCTGGTGTCCCCCGCCGTGATATTGCTGGAATATTGCTAAAAGCGGCGTAAAGCTAAACTCAGTCAGTCAGTCTTCCGCTCTCTATCTCTTTTCTCTCTCTCTCTTTCTCCGTCTCTCTCTCCCTCCCTCGCTTTCGCTCTCTCCCCTTCTCCCTTGCTCTCTTTTCACCCCTCTCCATCTCTATCTCTCCCTCTGGTGTCTATTGTCGTGATATTGCCGGAATACTGCTAAAAGCTGTGTAAAACTAAACTCACTCACTTACTATATGTCGCTCTTCCAGGGTTCACGGTACAATAAGTCCAAGAGCGACTGTGACGATGACGTCAGGAAGTTAGCAGTGCAGGCCTGCACCCGATTCCCATGCACCTTCCCGCTTAATGATCGTCTAGAAAGACTACGCAAGTTTCTCACGCTCAGGTACCAGACAGAAGCAAGGCGTTGGTGTGGCGCGGATTGGGTCAAGAAATATATCTGAAAAAGATGTTTGTATTTGTACACCCTGGCTGACAATAAATGCTGATTGAAAACTCAATACTGACTTACAGTGATCCATTCGTATTCACATTAGTTTTGTATTTCATGCCAATATATGCCCATTGTGGAATCTGCGATGAGAACTGATTATTTTGTATTATCCCATGGAACAGACACACAATGGACGATTGTCAGGCTCGGCAAGGGTATTGAAGCAGCTCAGAAGTTGAAATATAAACAAGAGTGATCTGACTGACTTATACATCTATTATATGGTGTCTGCTTATACAGTGGTGTGTATTTAATGTTGAGTTACACACTATACAGTCACATACTATCTGTTAAGTTGAACTGATGAAATGATTTTCATTAATAGTGAATAGGTTTCTTTCATAGGACCGGTTAACAAATTTTATCAGCTGAGTGAAATTAATGTGCATTACTCTTAAAAGTATTTCATTTCAAATGTTTGTTCATTAGTTTGGCTGTACCTATTATAAATATCATGAGAACATCTCAATATCTTCTGATTGCAATACTACAACAGACTAAAACACAAATCTTAATATTATATAACACTGGACAACAGTACAGATACATTAAGAACACAAATCTAAACTTTCCAACAACGTAGCATTCGTGACCCACTCGTGTTATTCCAGGACAAGCCGAATTGCGTCTTCATGGAGCATTCGTCACAACTCGCCTCTTTCCGTAGCCTCCAAGAAGACTCGTCCCCCTATCGATGCCATTCGTGACCAACTCCATCACCGACATGTCGCTATTGCCACGAAATCGTACATATAAAACATGAATATTCTCTTTTATTTTAGGGAGGTCGATATATTTTTTCGATCGCCTTGTGAAATTACAAGGTAAAGTGTTTAGGATGGATGATGTTAATGACAGGGTTTGTCAGCCGATCTATATACAAAATACACACTCATATACAGCTCAAAACAATGAATTAGTTACTTTATATTACTAAGCTGAATGTATAAAATACATGGTATGATCAGTATGATAATAGACAGATAACATTCCACTATTTGCGACTCGTGCCCGTACATTGATTATTTTGAGCATGATAACTGGATACAAATCATCTGATGGCTATTTATTATCAGTTAACTAGTTTGGTTAAATCATGGACTCTTTTCTTTGCACTTTATATACTTTACAGCAGTGCATGCATGAACATCAAAACACCTATCAGTGATTTAAACAGGAACGTAATCACACATTGTAATTTAATATCAACCGCTGTTTATGTTTATTGTAAAAATATTGAATACATACTTTAAAGGAGTAAACCTTTTGATACAACTAAAAGAAGGGGAAAAACTAAAATATTCCCAGAGATGTGCAATATATGCCCAATGTTAAAGATTAAAGTTGATCAGTAACATGCAGATATATGTTTACATATTATTGTTTTGAAACTCGTAGCGGTTGATGATTACATTTCCCAAAATGTTGGAAGCGCACGTACAATCTCCATAGCAAGCTCAAAAAAATCGGCAGAAATAACCCTCGGTTGGACCCATGAGAGCCGTTATGTCAACATAAGAGCCGTGTTTTGAACCTCTCACCGTCAATCGCATGATTCTTATCATGATTCAAACTTCATTATCGATGCTTGTTATGTGCGAAAATACGACAAACCAATCAGAACGCGCGTAAATGACTGCGGTGCTTTGGTAAAAATAATCCCGAGTACTTAAATCGTTCATGGCATTATGTCATTGTTTAAAAAATAATGAAAATATATATATCCCCATATTGAAAGTACAAAGAACTTAGCTAACAGGATTTTGCTGCCTATTATGAAGTTTTTGATAAGAATCATGCGATTGACGGTGAGAGATTCAAATACACGCACGTGCGTTTGTTGGCATAACGGCTCTCATGGGTCCAACTGAGGGTATTTCTGACGATCTTGCGGGCTTGCTATGAAGGTTGTACGTGCGCTTCCAACAATTTAGGAAATGTAATTATATATCGCTACGAGTTTCAAAACAATAATATTAAACATATATCTGCATGTAACTAATCAACTTTAATCTTTAACATTGGGCATATATTTCACATCTCTGGGAATATTTTAGTCTGACTTTTTTTGGTCATTCATATATTTTTTTCAGCGTATTCATTTAAAATTCCACTTGGGGTATGATAGCAAGGTTACACGAATGTTCAGTTTGAGAAATATTTGAAAGTCATTTTTGAGTTTCTGTTTTGAGATTTAATGTAACTTTCATAAATTTTATTTACATATTTAATAAAACAAATCCCTATGGTGATTATCAAACCCTATTTAGAAATATATTTGGAAATATAAGGTGAACATCTGGTAATAATTACGTCAGAATAAGTCTATAACAAATAAGTTTTTCTCCTTCTTTTAGTTGTATCAAAAAGGTTTAATTCTTTAAAAACATAAACAGCAATACAATGTATGATTACTTCGGTGATATTAAGTACCATTGGAATCAAACAAGAATAGAGTTATCGTTCCTGTTTAAAGTAGTTCTGATGTTCATGCGCCAATATGAAATCCTTCCAAAGGGGCACGAGTCGCTATTCGGCTTGTTCCGGAATATAACACGAGTTGGTCAGGTTACGGAAAGGGGCGAGTGGTGACGAATGGACCAAACAGTAGCGAGAGTTACCTCCCTTACGCCATTGCGCGGTAATGTTGAGCGTTGGAAAACTTTGCAATGCTGTACCAGATAGTGTGTCTCACAGTCCCCGAACCATATTATTTTCCCCAATGCTTAACCCTCCCTGCAATGCTAAAGCCCTAAATGAATCTAGATTTCCTCAGGTCTGGTCTCACTGGGGCTCCTTTTCAATTTAAATGGGTTTATTTGCTACTATCAAAATTCTATGTATTCAGGGACTAAACGTTAGTGTTTGTACCAGATTACAAACATGTGAAATGTTTTGATTAACATTCGATATAATACCAATTGACATCTAAACAACTATGTCCACTTACTGGTCACGGACTTTGTGTACTCTGATAAGTGTACATTGGCACGGCTCCCATGGCGGAAATCTGTGAATACACCGTGCCATTTAAAACTGGTCAAATGTAAAAGTTACATTTGGAATTACCTTCTCAGTATAGTACAGATTCTAATACGTTTGCTGGGATTCGATACCCACTCTATCATTATAACATGTGTTACATCTGACCACTTTATAAGTGGCACTGAGCATTCGTGTTCATGTTGGGCGGTGGGGTAGCCTAGTGGTTAAAGCGTTCGCTTGTCACGCCGAAGACCTGCGTTCGATTCCCCACATGGGCACAATGTGTGAAGCCCATTTCTGGTGTTCCCCGCCGTGATATTGCTGGAATATTGCTAAAAGCGGCGTAAAACCCAACTCACTCACTCACTCACTCACTCGTGTTCATGTTAAATGAACCATCATAAGTGACGTACTTTGAAACCCGTGATCGGCTTCGTTTCAATACATGATGGTGGAGGTAAGCACGCGAAAACACTCTGTTAACGACAATCGGCTGAGTCATGCCTTTTATTGAAAAAAGCCCCACCTAAAGCCTGACTGCCCGATCCCGTTAGTCGCCTCTCACGACAAACATGGGCTGTTGAAGTCCAGTTCGAACCCGGATCTTCACGGGTCAATAAATACTTGTATGTGTGAATACATTAAAGTTCGATTAATATGAATGCGTTCCATGATCCAATGGTTATATGCCTATATCATTTCTCCAAATGATTAATTAGTGCGCGGAATGCAAATTATAAATATTTGAAAACTATCTCTTCGTTCGTATTAATGGCGTCAGAGGCATAGACCTTTCCATGAATCATACCTTATCTATTCATTTAAACAAAGCACCACAGAATGAAGAACAAACTATTTTTGATGCCAATATCATTTTATTGTGCACGGCGTGAGGTGATACCACACAATCACAGACACGCCTTCACCCATGACTCATTACAACCAAGCAAGGCTGGACTACTGAATACTCGCTTTCCGCCTAACCTTTACACCCAAGTGATAAACGGATGCAGCGGTTCTGCACTTCGGGAGCCACCATTTCTCCCTACAAATCTTCAGCATGCTTCGTAGAAATCTTGCATCACAAGTTGCTCTTGATATGCCATAAGCAGCAGCCTGTGAAAACAGCGAAAATATTGTAGAACAATACAGTAGTGAAATTATTCCTGATAAACTTCTATCTCCTTCCGTATCCCCGGACTATTGCAGTACTTTCTGTTATGGGCGGTGAGATAGCCTAGTGGTTAAAGCGTTCGCTCGTCAAAACGTCATAGTTTCCGGGGATATCGACATAATACAAAGCTCAAAGATTGAAAGCAGTTTCGTTTGTTAACCAGATGCCACATAGTCATTTCCTGTAGTCGTTTTTATTTCTAACGGATTTGGTATTTGGTATTAGTAAACTTTTCATATATAAGAAATACGACTTTCAACATTTTCCAGTTCCATGTCATGTAGATAATACTTTGTAACGGAAGAGGTGGGTTAGCCTAGTGGTTAAAGCGTTCGCTCGTCACGCCGAAGACCCGGGTTCGATTCCCCACATGGGTTCAATGTGTGAAGCCCATTTCTGGTGTTCCCCGCCGTGATATTGGTGGAATATTGCTAAAAGCGGCGTAAAACCATACTTACTCACTAACTCACTCACTCCAATGTTACGCCGAATATAGTAAAGGTTGCATGTCTCCACGCGGCAGTGAATCAACAACGATTAAACTACATTCTGCTGATGATGAATCATGTCCTGAATCCTTCACTCAACTCCTGGATACGTGTAACTGTAAATTACATAAAATTACAAAATACGTGTGGAATACGTACACAGGAATAGCAAACATCATGCTTGTTACAAGCAGGTTTGAATGTATTTTTGAATGGTATCCACTTGTCTTGCACGGAACAGCCATTGGCGAACTTGCGATCACAGGTCTGCCATTGTTTTTCTTGTGTCTGCCGTGTACGAGTACTGGAGAACCACCAACCAGCTGCACTTCCGGTCAACAGTACCCAGAGGGCCAGAGTACACCACGTGGACAACAGACTCATCTGTAAAGTCGTAAAAGTTTAGTTGTGTTTTGAGGCAGAATATATTCCACGGATATTGGAAATTCTTTAATATAGAACGTCAGTGCAAAAGAATACCCAGTTTTAACTAGCAAAAACAAATCCTGCTTGGTATTAAGGGAAAATAGCTGTGAAAAGTATATGAATGAAGCACTTGAAATAGTGATGACACCAGGTGTTGGCCAAGAGGGTAAGCATACCTTGCCTCACCCGTAGCACCCGCCATTTACCAAATGTGCCTGAACATGTCATAGTATCATGTCTTGGTTAAAATGTCAAACACAATATAATATAATAAATAGAGTTTTCAAAAATGGAAATCAACATAGGCCGTTTAAAACAAAATGGTTTTCATTCATTTTTTGTTTCACCTACATACCGGTGTTGAACCCGTGAAAATTCGGCTTAGAGTTGATCTTCAGTAAGCCGTAAGAGGCGACTGACGGGGTCGGGCGGTCAGGCTCGCTGGGTTGGTTGACACATGTCATCGTATGATTCGTATTCCAATTGTGTAGATTGATGCTCATGCTGTTGATCACTGGACTGTCTGGTCCAGACTTGATTCTTTACAGACCGCCGCCATACGGCTGGGATATTTGCTGAGTGCGGCGTAAAACAGCATACCAACCAACCAACCCGGTTTTGAATACTATGCTATAGCCTCCTTTCCATAGTAATAACGGAGATTCTACACAGTAAAGAAGCACTGTAGCCCATTAGGCCACATGGACGCTGTGCTAATTCTTGTAACGAACAGGTACGTTAGTACTGCGGTAAAGGTTTAAAAAAAATTGAAGATAAAGTTGACCAAATATGACATGTTGCAAACAATTGGTTATATAGGAAAATCCAGAACAGTAACAATGCACCATAGTTTCAAAACAATAATACACATACATTATAAAATTAAATGTTTAATTTTAATGTTCAGAATTAAAATGGCAAACAGTTATTCAGAAAGTGATATCAACACAGACACATTCAGAGGAACCAAATGGTGTTTTCTGTTTGAGTTTAGTTTTCGAGTTTTCAGGCAGCATTCCACCCGTAAATACTGTCTCAGTGTGCCCTCTCATCATCGCAACAAATAATATGATACGTTTTATGGATTTAAGGGCTTTGTTCAAATGAACTGACCACTACCTACATATATAATGGAGATGTGTAAACTGAATGTACCAAAACGGAATGATGATAGACTATTGTCAACAAAATTAGAAAAGCATGAGTTTCCTATCCAACTACAAATGAACCTCAGTATGTCCACCAACGTTATATCACAACTATCACAAAGCGAGGCGGTGCAAGTCCGGGTCCATGTCCCCTGTTAGATCAGGATGCACATTGTATCGTTTCATCTCATTTCACAAATGGATCTATTTGTGAAACGCAACGGAAACCTGGTCCATCCGTTAGTCAGTTGTTACACATGTGTGCTCAACCTGACTCAACCTGACTCAACCTGACTGCAAACATTTACCACATGACCCGCTTTGGCGTTACATGAAGTCTCTGAAGAGGGAATGGACTCGTGAAGATCCGGGTTAGAATTTGTTTTCATCAACCCATGATTGTCGTAAGAGGAGACTAACGGGATCCGGTGGACAGGCTCGCTGACTTGGTTGATACATGTCATCATATCCCAATTGCGTAGATCTATGCTCATGCTGTTAATCACTGGATTGTCATGGGTTGAGTTGATTATTTACTGCCCGCCGCCATGTAGCTGGAATATTGCTGAGTGTGGCGTTAATCAACAACCTCACCACCCACCAAGTAGAGGGAACATTCAGGTTCTACAACAAACTCTCTGAAGTACTGAACGCTTTAAGCAATAGGCTACCCCACCGCCCCTGAAAGTAGATGAACAATCATACCCTACATCATAAGATAGGAATATCTGTGCCAGTTTACTTACCATGTGCAGCTCGATCTGTACCAACTGATATGACTTAAGTATGCCCAAAAGCATATGTTATATAGTTTGAGTGTCAAACTGTTGCATAACTGTCTACTTCCAAGAAAATAAGTAGGTCAGACGATTCCATTATAGTGTGGCCAGGGGGGTACAGTAACACGGCACACAAAACAATAGGCTGGTTTCGGTCGTGTGGAGTTATGATTATAAAAAACCAAGCTCTTAGGTGTTACGTTATTGCATTGAATAAAGAGTAGTTTGTTTTCTTTGGACAGAATATTTTGTATGTGCAATGTTAAAAAAAATACGAACGGAACCTACCACTCCCTTCACAGACGAGTTCAATTCGCCTCTCGTCCCATGCCGGATTACGCAGTTTCTTCCGCGGGACGAGGAGGTTCGATGTTAAATCGGTTATGGTAGAATGGAGATAAACATACCGTGTTTGGAAATTATAAGAATGTTAGACCGAATTGATAGTCTCTAAATTAATCATTTGAAACCTCACGCTACGCGTTCGGCTTCAAATGAAATTTAGAGACTTTCAATTGGACTATAAATTAATCATTTGAAACCTCACGCTACGCGATCGACTTCAAATGAAATTTAGAGACTATCAATTCGGTCTAACATTCATCTAATTTCCAAACACAGTACCTTTATCTCCTAAATACAAAACGGGTTCAATGTTTGCGGGTGAGAAAGGTGAGAAAGTGTGGGACTAACAGAGGCGACACGGCTGCATCATGGTATACATTCACGCCTACATCTACATCTGTTGTCACAATACCGTGATCAGTAAACACGGCTTTTTGCTGTGTGATGTTGCCATAGGCAGTATGCACAAACAAGGATGAGGAATTGGGAAAAATAGTAAAACACATTATAAACAAAACATTTGTTTCGCATGAGAGAACTGTGAAATATGGTGACAGATGCTTTAGCAAGAGAGCAGCAACTCTCTGGAACAATCTACCTGCCATAATCAGAGACTCTGATTCATACGACTGTTTACAAAAGGGCGTCAAAACCCATCTATACAAAATGCCTATACCCCTCGGCAATAGGCTCTTACCCTTATACCCCTCGGCAATAGGCTCTTACCCTTATACCCCTCGGCAATAGGCTCCTACCCTTATACCCCTCGGCAATAGGCTCCTACCCTTATACCCCTCGGCAATAGGCTCCTACCCTTATACCCCTCGGCAATAGGCTCTTACCCCTTACCCCTCGGCAATAGGCTATACCCCTCGGCAATAGGCTCTTACCCTTATACCCCTCGGCAATAGGCTCTTACCCTTATACCCCTCGGCAATAGGCTCTTACCCTTATACCCCTCGGCAATAGGCTCTTACCCTTATACCCCTCGGCAATAGGCTCTTACCCTTATACCCCTTATAGGCCCTATACCCCTCGGCAATAGCCCTTATACCCCTCGGCAATAGGCTCTTACCCTTATATACCCCTCGGCAATAGGCTCTTACCCTTATACCCCTCGGCAATAGGCTCCCCTACTCCCCCTTATACCCCTCGGCAATAGGCTCTTACCCTCGGCAATAGGCCCCCCCTTATACCCCTCGGCAATAGGCTCTTACCCTTATACCCCTCGGCAATACTCCCTCGGCAAATGGCTCCTTACCCTTATACCCCTCGGCAATAGGCTCTTACCCTTATACCCCTCGGCAATAGGCTCTTACCCTTATACCCCTCGGCAATAGGCTCTTACCCTTATACCCCTCGGCAATAGGCTCTTACCCTTATACCCCTCGGCAATAGGCTCTTACCCTTATACCCCTCGGCAATAGGCTCTTACCCTTATACCCCTCGGCAATAGGCTCTTACCCTTATACCCCTCGGCAATAGGCTCTTACCCTTATACCCCTCGGCAATAGGCTCTTACCCTTGATACCCCTCGGCAATAGGCTCTTACCCTTATACCCCTCGGCAATAGGCTCCTAGCCTTGAACACAGTGGATTCAGATTGCAAGAACCCGGATCTTTACGGTCTTCAGCAACCCATGCTTGTCGTCAGGCGCGCTGACTTTGTTGACACATGTCATCGCATCCCAATTGTTTAGATCGATGTTCATGTTATTGATCACTGGAGTGTCTGGCCCAGACTCGATTATATGCAGATCGCCACCATGTAAGTGGAGTATTGCTGAGTGCGGCGTTAAAGAATGAAAAAACAAGCAAACAGATTGCAAGGGTTGCCGGAGACTGTTTCTTGTGCACCAAGACAATCACCACCATCCGGGTTTGCCAGCATCTGTGCAAGAGGACTTGCTGTTTGACTTTCTCGACCCCCGGGACAGAATGAAGACAGCTTTGCCTTTGTGAATGATGATGAATATGTTCTTAACTGCCAATGAAACTGAAAACATCATGAAACATTCTACACTTGACTTGAACTGAGTTCGCAGATGTATACAGGAAAGTATAAACGACCCAAGAAAGGTGGAAGAAATAAGCCCCAGTGTACTAAACATTATTCTTTTCATTTCAGATGGTTCAGGATACGAATCGTTTAGTTTATATGGGATCAAGGGTAACCGTTTACAAGTCGTTCGCTCGCGAGACTTTTGCAGTGATAGTCCATTTTATCATACACCCAACACAAACCTCGGTTTACAATCTGGTAACACTTGGTTCAAACGCCAACCAGTTGGCAGAAACAAGCTCCCTGATGAAGATCATGGCATCCAAGGTTGGACTGTCTACGGACAAAACATTGAAGAACCAAAGAGGTTGACAAAAATAACGCAACAGGTTATACAAGTTTCTGGTCCAATGAACGCCCAGGTTACAATTAATCAAAATATCAACAAAATTCTGCCATCCTCCAAAAATCCCAGATGCAAATGTTCCCCATGTTTGAAGTAAATGTCTTCCTCGAGAAACATGAACCTGTCTAAATGGTCTTTTACTCAATGCTGCATACCTCCGTCAACATCGGACTGAAACGTTAAGTGTTATTTTCGTTTAGCTGTCAAGAAGTCCTTATTATGTAATATATTAGGTATATCGCAAGAACATGGTGTTTAGCGTCGCGATGAAGACTTCAGTTACATCGAGACGTGCATGCACCTGTGCCCTATCGCTGGTGTCTACTTCATGGATCGGGTGACCATGCTCACTGACTTGCTGATACGTGTCGTCGTCG